TGCCTGTTACCTGTGCATACCGCCTGACCCAGGTATAGAGCCTGCTGCTCTAGGTGCTCGTGAGGCTACTGCTCTAGGGGCTAGTGTGTCTACTGCTCTAGGTACGGATGATTCTGCTCTCTCTGGTACTACGCCTGCTCAGGCCATGTACACCTTCACACTTGACTCTGGTGCTTCTCGCTGCTTCTTTCGCGACAGCACCTCCCTCACGCCGCTCAGTCGGCCGGTTCCAGTCTCTCTGGCAGACCCCTCTGGGGTTCCCGTCCATGCGACCTCTTCCACTGTCCTCCCTTGTCCTGCTGTCCCGTCCGGCACAGTGTCGGGTCTTCACCTCCCCTCGTTCTCTACGAACTTGGTGGCGGGTTCTGCACTCCAGGACGTGGGTGTTCACCAGTTCACCCCTGCCTACAAGCGTGTGACACACTGCACGTGTGCTCAAACGGGTCGTCACCTGGCTACCTTCACTCGGCAGCAGGGGTTGGGCCTGTACACACTGACCACTGAGTCCCCTCAGGTAGGTACGTCTGCGTCTGCGTCAGGTGAATTGTCGGCCCCTTGCTCGTGTCGTGCCTTGTCGCACCAGACCCTCCTTTGGCACCACCGCCTTGGTCACCCCTCGGTGCAGCACCTTCGCAGCATGCACCGCCGTGTCCTTGTCTCTGGTCTTCCTAGGGTTCTCCCTCCCCTCCCACCCTCGCCTGCTCCTCCCTGTCTTCCCTGTGTCGAGGGGCGGCAGTGCGCCGCTCCTCACTCCTCCTCGTTCCCTCCCACAGAGGCTCCCCTGCATACTCTCCACCTGGACGTGTGGGGCCCAGCCCGCGTCCGTGGATAAGGCCACGAGCGGTACTTCTTGCTGGTCGTCGACGACTAAATGCGTTACACCACGGTCTTCCCCTTGCGCACCAAGGGTGAGGTCACTGATGTTTTGATCCCTTCGATCCGCGCTGCTCGTCTCCAGCTCCGCGAGCGGTTCGGGACGGAGTTTCCCGTCCTGCGTGTGCACTCTGATAGAGGTGGTGAGTTTTCCTCCGACCTCTTGGCAGCCTTCTGTGAGGAGCACGACATCACCCAGTTGTTTACGCTTCCCGTCTCTCCGCAGCAGAATGGGGTTGCTGAGCACCGTATTGGCTTAATCATGGAGGTCGCTCGTACCTCCATGATCCATGTGGCTGCCCCCCATTTTCTGTGGCCGTTTGCGGTCTGGTACGCCGCGCATCAGCTCAACCTCTGGCCCCGTGTCTCCTTGCCGGAGACCTCGCCCACACTGTTGTGGACGGGAAGGTTGGCGATGCGTCGTGTTTCCGGGTTTGGGGTGCTCGTGCCTTTGTCTGTGATACCACTGCGGACAAGCTCTCCGCCCGCGCTGTTCCCTGTGTCTTCCTTGGCTTTTTCCCTGACGCGCCTAGTTGGCAGTTTTGCCACCCCACCTCGCGCCGTGTCTTCCCCTCTCAGGACGTCACGTTCAACGAGTCGGTTCCATTTTACCGTCTCTTCCCCTACCGCACTGCCCCTCTCCCCTCCCCGCCGCTCTTCCTCGCTCTAGGTGCTCCCTAGGTATACCCCCTCCCCACTCCCGGTCCTGCTCCTTCAGGTGTATCTCAGGTAGACCCTCCTCCCTTGACTGTGCCGGTTGAGGTCACTGGTGACTCAGGTCCTGCTGAGGGTGGTCCTGCTCAAGGTGCTGTTTCTGGGAGTGCGGAGCCTGGGGGTGCTGAGCCTGGGGGTGCGGAGCCTGGGGGTGCTGAGCCTGGAGGTACGGAGCTTGGGGGTGCAGAGTCTGGAGCTGCTGAGGGTACTGGAGCTGGAGGTTCTGGAGCTACTGCGGGTGTTGGCGCTGGGGGTTCTAGACCTGCTGCAGGTGCTGGCGCTGAGAGTTCTGAGCCTGCTGTTGCGCGGTCTCCCTGGAGTAGCCGCCTTCGTCTGTGTGTGCCTCTCATCTCACAGCAGCTGCACGACTGGTACACTCGCCGTCAGGGTCGCGTTTCTGGAGCTCGGAGCTCTGCCGCTGGAGGTGTTTCTGCTGTCGTCATTGGTGTTGGGAGTGGTGCTGGTCCCGGAGGTGCTCGTAGTGGAGGTACTGGAGCTTCTAGGGCTGGAGGTGCTGCTGAGCCTGAGGGTGCTGCTGCTGGAGACCCTGGATCTGGGGGTGCTGCTGCTGGAGACCCTGGGACTGAAGGTGCTGGTTTTGGGGGTACTGCTATTGGTGGAGCTTGTTCTGGAGGAGTTGGCGCTGGGGGTTGTGGAGCTGCTAGAGGTGCTGGAGCTGCTTGGGGTGCTGGAGCTGCTAGTGCTGGCGCCACTGCACAACAACGCCTGTTCTTTGCTCCATCGTCTCCGTCGTCTCAGCCACCGCCCGACTCTGTGCTTCGCCAGGTTCTTAGTCTCCCTTCGTCTACTGTTCTTCCATTACAGCCTGGCTCACTGCTACCTGCTCCTTCTCTTTACACAGAGTAGACAGGGGGTTTTACTGAGCGTCGTGAGCCTGCGTCGCATCCTTTTTCGCCTGTCGGTTCTAGTAGTTCCGGTCATCGTGTTCCTTGTTCAAGTCAGCCGACCGTCCCCGGCAACCACCTCGTAGTTCGTCGTCCTTCCTCTCCTCCGCAGCGTGTCCCCCTGCCGACTCCTCCTGCGTCTTCTCTGCCTACCGTTCCTGAGCCTGAGTCTGACCGCACCCGTGCTGCTCACTCTACTGTCACGCGTCTGCTAGCCACAGTTGTCACTGACCCGTTGTTTGAGTTTGCTGCTGCGTCTGCCTTTGTTCCTGAGCTTGTTGACTTTGCTGTTGCCTGTCGTCTTGACTACGCCGCTAGTCTTGTTGCTGAGTCTGAGTCTGTCTCTCCTCCGTCTGTCGGGGGTGAGTGTGCTCTTGGCACGGACGTCCTTGAGGATACGCAGGAGGACCTTGAGTGTCTTGCAGCCACTGCGCCTCACCTCGTGTCCGTGCTGCTTGCCCCTGAGGGAGACCCGGATGCTCCAGACATCCCGACCCCGCGCTCTTACGCTGAAGCAATCGCAGGTGAGTACTCCTCTCAGTGGCAGACAACCATGGACGCAGAGATGGCATCCTGGAAGTCCACTGGCACCTACGTCGACGAGGTTCCCCCACCTGGGGCGAACATCGTCAGTGGCATGTGGATTTTCAGGGTGAAGCGGTCGCTAGGTTCTCCGCCTGTCTTCAAGGCTCGTTACATTGCTCGAGGCTTCAGTCAGCAAGAGGGAGTAGACTTCTTTCAGACCTTCTCCCCCACCTCAAAGATGACCACTCTTCGGGTGCTGCTACACGTCGCCGCTCAACGTGACTACGCGCTTCACTCTCTTGACTTCAGCACAGCTTTCTTACAGGGCAGCCTGCACGAGGAGACCTGGCTGCGCCGCCCACCTGGCTTCAGTGGATCGTTCCCTCCTGGTACCTAGTGGAGCCTCCGGCGGCCAGTCTACGGTCTCCGCCATGCACGACGTGAGTGGCACGACTCACTGAGGACTACACTTGCGGCTCTTGGGTTTGCTCCATCGACTGCTGACCCGTCGCTGTTTCTGCGCACGGACACGTCGCTGCCGCCGTTCTACATCCTCGTGTATGTTGACGACTTGGTCTTTGCCACTGCTGACACTGCGGCTCTTGCCCACGTGAAGTCCGAGCTTTAGAAGAGACACACGTGCACAGACCTGGGTGAGTTGACAAGCTATCTTGGCTTGCGGATCACCCGAGACAGAGCACGCCACACCATCACACTGACTCAGTCACACATGGTGCAGCTGGTCCTTCAGCGCTTCGGCTTCACCTGGTCCTCAGCACAGCCGACTCCTCTGGCTACAGGTCACTCGCTCTCAGCTCCACCTTGAGACGAGTCCGTAGAGCCGAGTGGTCCTTACCTAGAGCTAGTAGGCTACCTCATGTACCTGGTGACTTGCACTCGTCCTAACCTCGTGTACCCTCTTGGCCTTCTAGCTCGCTACGTGGCTCCTGGTCGGCACCGAAAGGTGCACATGGATGTTGCCAAGAGGGTACTGCGCTACTTGTGTAGTACGTCAGGCATGGGGCTCGTGCTTGGAGGGAGGAGCTCAGTTGTTCTCACTGGGCACTCAGACTCTTCTTGGGTTGACGACCAGGCTACTCAGCGGTCGTCACAGGGTTACACCTTCAGCCTTGGCTTTGGTTTATTTTCTTGGCGTTCTACTCGCTCGTCTTGAGTTCTCAGCTCCAGTTGTGAGGCTGAGATCTACGCCACAGCCACGGCTGCACAGGAGCTATGCTGGCCGACCTACCTGCTGACCGAATTGGGAGAGCGGCCTCGTTCTCCTCCAGTGCTGTACGTCGACAACAAGGCTGTCATTGCCTTGTGCGAGGAGCACAGATTGGAGCATAGAACGAAGCACATCGCTCTACGTTACTTCCTGGCTCGAGAGGTGCAGCAGCGTGGTCAGCTTCGTCTGCGTTACATGGCCACTCAGGCCAATACCGCTGATATATTCACCAAGGTACTTCCGTTTGGTGATCATTTGCGTTTCTGCACTTTGTTAGGCCTTGTGCCCACTTTTCCTCACTTGCTGTAGAGTTTGTTTGTACTGTGAGATATATATGTATATATGTATATATGTACCTGCTTGCTTGCTCTGCTAGGTAGAGATCACTGTGCTGTTGTTGTTGCATATATACATCTGCATGTGAACTGGCCTTGTGGCCTTTTGCTCGTGCTCAGTGTGTGTGGTGACGTTGTGATCCACCCTGAGCTTGCTTTGCTTCTCTTGACTGGTCTTGTGACCCCTTGCTCTCCCCTAATTTGCATATGGGGGTGTTTCAATTGATATATATGCTGCATATGCTTAAGCTATAGTGGGGTAGCCAATATGGGGTACAACCTCCATTAGGGTTTCATATTTGTACCTCATACTCTCATAGTTCAATCATTCCTGCTGCTAGATTCTGACGGGAAGAGGGGGAGCAGAGGGGGAGGGAGTGGGAAGAGAGTGACGCTCATCACTAGTGCCAGGAAATCCAGTCATCGAAGAACTTCTGCATGCGCGTGCGTGTTGCTATGCACCGTGTAGAGAAGGGAAGGGGATGGGGGGAAGCAGGGAAGGGGATGGGGGGAAGCAGGGAGCGGGATGGGGGGAAGCAGGGAGCGGGATGGGGGGAAGCAGGGAAGGGGATGGGGGGAAGCAGGGAAGGGGATGGGGGGAAGCAGGGAAGGGGATGGGAGGAAGCAGGGAGCATGATGGGGGGAAGCAGGGAGCGGGATGGGGGGAAGCAGGGAGCGGGATGGGGGGAAGCAGGGAAGGGGATGGGGGGAAGCAGGGAAGGGGATGGGGGGAAGCAGGGAGCGGGATGGGGGGAAGCAGGGAGCGGGATGGGGGGAAGCAGGGAAGGGGATGGGGGGAAGCAGGGAAGGGGATGGGGGGAAGCAGGGAAGGGGATGGGAGGAAGCAGGGAGCATGATGGGGGGAAGCAGGGAGCGGGATGGGGGGAAGCAGGGAGCGGGATGGGGGGAAGCAGGGAAGGGGATGGGGGGAAGCAGGGAAGGGGATGGGGAGAAGCAGGGAAGGGGATGGGGGGAAGCAGGGAAGGGGATGGGGGGAAGCAGGGAGCGGGATGGGGGGAAGCAAGGAAGGGGATGGGGAGAAGCCTGACGGAGGGAGGGGGGAAGTAGGGTGAAGGGAGGGGGGAAGCTTAGCGGAGGGAGGGGGGAAGCAGGGCGAAGGGAGGGGGGAAGCAGGGCGAAGGGAGGGGGGAAGCAGGGCAGAGGGAGGGGAGAAGCAGGGCATAGGGAGGGGGGAAGCAGGGCGGTGGGAGGGGGGAAGCAGGGAGGAGGGAGGGGGGAAGCGGGGAGGAAGGAGGGGGAAAGCAGGGAGGTGGGAGGGGAGAAGCAAGGAGGAGGGAGGGGGGAAGCAGGCGGAGGGAGGGGGGAAGCAGGGTGGAGGGAGGGGGGAAGCAGGGTGGAGGGAGGGGGGAAGCAGGGTGGAGGGAGGGGGGAAGCAGGGTAGAGGGAGGGGGGAAGTAGGGCGCGGGCCAACCTGAGCGACGCTCGGTTCTATTTTGCGATCGTGGACATCAGCCAATTAGGAGAGAGTGTCGCTAGGCGTTGTCCCATAGTAGCGAGAGTTCTGAGCAAAAAAGTAGGGTACCCCTGTTTTTGACGATTTCAAATTCAAGAATCTTGAACTTGAAAATAACCATGCTGTACCCGGGCTTTAGCTGCAACAATAAACTCAGGTTCCCCATACTTCCTGAACTGTCATTGCCTGGCCCAATTAAAATTTGAAACATGCACAAACCGAACCATGAACGATGAACCTTGTATGACATACCAAATCCATATGTGGAATACAGACCATGCACCACGAAACCCCACCTCACCACACTAAGACCCTATCCGATCAATACCAGCCACCATCTCCTCTACACATATCCCCGTGCAGCCTGCACATCATCCAACCTGGCCCGCTCAAACACATAGTACATGGACAGATTCAGCATCTTGTTTCCCTGCTGATGCAAAATACATGCCATGCCGCCCGTGCTCCTCGCGCGCACCATCGCCTCTTCACCCTTCCCCACCACTTCAAACTCCTCCCAAGGATACCCCCCCAGGTGCGTGAAGAGCGTGTTGTAATGATCCAGCTTCATGAACGGAGCAGCCATGACAGACGGAGCATCCTTCTGCCCCGCCTCCATCGCCTCGCTGATCACCTTCTCTTCTGACGCGGGTGGCAGCCGGTGGAACGGCGACATGGTCGTGTTGTACCGCACGGGGCGCGGGTTGCGCCACGGCTTGCGGAACGGCGAGTCGGCGAATTTTTCCTGGGCGGCCACAGCCACAGTGACATTACCCATGCTGTTGAGGGCGGATTCGAAATCGCTGGGTTCAGGGCAGGGCACACGGGGGAGGTGCCTGAAGAGGTACTGCTGGCCGATAAACCCGAGGGTGTATGCACGCTGGTCTTGCATGCAGTCACCCATGTATGTCGCGTCTATGATCTTAGCCAGGGCCCACGCGTATCCCACGTAGGCTCCGGAGTTCAGAAACCAGTTCTTCGTCTCGTTGATTTTCCGAGGGTAAAACACCTCGATTTTCCGCCAGTCCGGGTAGCAGAAGATCTCCCCTCCGAATGCCACGGGCGCATTGAGGGAGAGGAACGCCTCTACGAGATTCTCCGGGCGGCAGTGGGGGCCTGGCATGAGGAAGGCGTCGTCGGCGTCGGTGGAAATGACAATGCGGTCGGGCGGCAGCGAGCGGAGGTAGTCGCGGATAGTCCGCATGCGGCCGCCCTGGCCTCTCCAGGGCACACCCACCCCCACCACGGCGAACGGAATGGCCGCCATGTGCGCGAAATCCGCCATTCGAACCATGCTGAGTCCGCAGTCAGAAGAGTAGATGATCCACTCCACACGGCAGGAGGAGTAGGAGAATTTGCCACGTGGCACGGGATGCATATCCCAGGGGTCCACGTCAGCATCGTATTTTACCGCGCAGCCATCCCTTCCCGGGTGTTCCTTGAGCTGCAGCCGATGCAGCACCCGGCCTCGCTCCACCCCGGCCTCACCTCTCTTAATCGCGGCTTTAACTATGTGCGAGCAGGGCACGCGGCGAGACGACGGCACCGCGAGTTTGACCCAGTGGCCCGTGGGCTGATTCACGCACGAGTCCCAGTGGTCCCTGAACTCCTCGACACGTGGCGTGAGATTAGTGGCCACTACCACCCAGTAGCTCACGCTGAAGAAGGTGATGATGGCGAGGCAAGCGAGGAGGCATGTAACGCGGATGATCGTGCCCAGGAGGCCGGAGGAGAGGAAGGAAGGAGAGGAGGAGGCGGAAGAGGAGGATGAAGAGAAGGAAATGGGGGATCCAGCCATTGGATATGCTGGTACACGGAACTTGAGAAACGGAATTTGTACAACGGCTGCTACGAGGAGACTAAAAATCTAGCGGAAGAAGGGGGGTACGAGAGCGCCGTGGGAGGGATGGGTGCGACATTGGAACACCAGCCTGGTGACTAGATGTTGCAGGAGAGAATGGCGACTGAATGTTGAGGAAGGAAAATGTTACAGCGCATTTCGCATTTCGCGCGGCTTGGGATCGTCGTGCAGCGTCCCACAATAATCAGCTCGCGAGTGCCGGCCCGTTCCGCAATTGAGAGATCTAGAGCGGGGAGCCCCCTGGTACCTAAAACTGGGCAAGGTCTGCGGATGGATGGACAAGGCATGCACGGCTGGTGGTTTGGATAACGAAGGTTGCGACAATGGTGTGGTTCGCGAGATGATAGACACCATCGAGAATGCTGTCGCAGCGGTACTCGTGTCGCGAATCTGTCGTGTTCGCGCAACACATTTATCTTCGCGTGTTCGTTTACAGTAGTCCAATTATCCGCTCACGGAGTTTTTCCCGTGTTACGCTCAAGCCAAACCCCGAGGCCCTGCGACAAGCTCGCAAGTTACCAAATCAACATCGCTGTTCAAGCTCATCGCTGCTCTGCTGCCCCACCCAATTCATTGCTGGAAGAACTCCCAACCAAGCCAAACTCCACCTCCCATACCTCAATTAGTAGCCATTCTAGACAGGAAACTGGCCTTCGTGCTGCCTGCTTGAACAACAGTACACCGCATCGCCGCACGCAACCGCACTGCATCCCTCCCCGCAATGATCGCTCGTGCTGCGCCTCTGGCTTCGCGCATCCCCCGCTCCACCGTGGTCGTGCCGGTGCTGGCATTACATTTTTCCGCGCGTCATCTGAATTCCTCCTTTCCTGTAGCTTCCGTCGCTAGCGCTTCGAACGCCCCTGTCACCCCTAGGACGCGTACTCTGCTACTAAGTGCACATAGTAATCTTAATCGCCTCCGTCCGTCCAGAAACGGTTTCAGTAATCTTACTCGCCTCTTCACGCATTCGCGCGCTGAATTTGTCGCGACTCGTCGTCAAAACGGAGCGGACATAACGGCAAGCGCGGCGAAATTCTCCCATCGCGCTAGCGAGGAAGATTCTAACGAGGACGAATCGAAACCTCCCGCCGCGAGCGGGCCGACCAAGACAGTGAAAATATTCTGCGCTAAGTGCCAGCAGCAGCTGTACCGGTACCGAAAGGGCGGCAACGGGGCATTAGTTAAGTGTTTCGTGGAGCGCATTGCGGAGGATTTTACGGCGGGGGACATGAAGTGCCCCGCGTGCGGGTCGGAGTTTGCGCGGATGCGCATGATCAAGGGGAAGCCCGCGCACAAGATCGTCGGGGGAAAGGTGTTCATGCGCAAGTGAGCGCGGCCAGGCGCAAGTGAGCGCGGAGGGGCAGGCGCGAGTAGCGAGCGCGACAGGCCTGCAGAGCGCGAGAAAAAGAGTTGCGCGGAGTCGTTTGGATCCGTTCCGTCCACCTCCTTGGCAGAGCTTCTGCTGCACTGCTCCATTCCATTCCCACATCATTGAGTTGCCAGCGCGGAGTGCGCGAACGAATCCGAATCCGCCATGAGGCGAGCCTCGGTGAGAAAATGCAGATGCGCCCTTCCCCATGGCATGCTCCCCCATCTCGCAGTGACAGCACCAGCTTATAATGTCATTTTACTGGCGGCATTCGGTGGCTTTCAACGGTTCTTGACTGGCTCTTAGCAGTACTGTACTACAGTACGACTTCCGCCCCAGAACGATTTTTGGGTAGTACTGTACTGGTTCGTTATGGCATTTTACTGGCGGCATTTGGGTGGCTTTCAACGACTCTTATTGACTTTTAGCAGTACTGTTCTGGCTCGTTATGGCATTTTACTGGCGTCTGACGGGAAGCCCTTGTGAAACGCACGCTGAGCGTCTCTCTTCCCTTCTGCCAGCACTACCCCCTCTCGCACTCTCCTTCCCCACTCTGCTCCAACACTCACCTATCCACCCTTCCTATACTTCCCCCTTTCCCTCTCTCCTCCCTGTCGCCAATCCCTTTTTGTGATTGTGCTGCGCCCCCAGCAACCAGTGCACTCCTCGCTGGTACTCGGCCAGTCACTGCAAGGCTTCTCCCCCCTCGCTGCTGTCACCATCCCTCTCCATCTCCCCCTTGCCACTTTTCCCTCTTCCCCCCATCGCCACCCAGCAACCAGCGCACACCTCGCTGGTCCTAGGCCAGTCACTGCAAGGCTTCTCCCCCCTCGCTGCCAATGTTGTCACCACGCCTTTCTCCTCCTCCTCCTCCTCGTCCTCCTCCACCTCCTACCCCTCCTCTGCTGCCTCTTGCACTGCAACCACCGCCAGCACCACCGCTACCACCAGCAGCTTTACCAGCAGCGGCAGCAAGGGCAACAAGGCGGGGGAGTGGCGTGTGTGGCGGTACCTCCGCCACCGATGGCGCTGGTTCTCTGCCTCATCCTCTCTCCCCTCCTCCTACCATGGGAAAGCACGTGATAGCAGCAGCAGCAGCAGCGGCGGCGGCGGCAGTTTTGGGCTTCATTTCGGGTTGAGTAGTGCGACTTTAGACGGCAGCAGCGGTGGCTGGGGCAGGGGAGGGAGAGGGGTGGTGGTGGAGGGGAGACGAAGGCGCGTGCGGCGGTGGGTGGTGTTTCTGGCAGCAATGGTGCTACTAGTAGTGCTGGCAGGTGCTGCGGTGGTGGGTGTGGGCCGTGCTGCCTCACTGATCTTCTTCCAAGGCAGCCAGACAAGGAGTGTTGAAAGTGCAGGTGAGAGAAAATGAGGCAGTGGTGTGGTGCCAGTATTGGTGCTGGTGGTGCTGGTGGTGCTAGTGGGGGTGGTACTGGTAGCAGGTGCTGTGGTGGGTGGGTGTGCGCCGTGCTGCCTTGTTACCATTCTCGCCCATGCCGGCCACGCCACGACACGAGTGGTCAAAGTGCAGGTGAGTAGTTACGAGGCAGTGTTGCGAATTTGTGGTTCTGCTGGCGGTGCTGGGAGTGGTGCTACTACCCAGTGCTGTGGTCGTGGGTGTGGGATGGGGCGTACTTCCTCATTAATCTTCTCCCGTAAAGACCAGGCCACGAGTGGGCAAAGTGCAGGTGAGGGAAGAGAGGCAGTGGTGCCAATAGTGGCGCTTGGGGTGGCGTTAGAAGCAGGTGCTGTGGCCGTGGGTATGGAGCGTGCTTGCCTCACTCATCCTCTTTCACGCTGGCCAAAGCGGCGAGAGCTGGTTTTTGAAAATTCTTAAGAACCAGCTGTGGCCGTGGGTATGGGGCGTGCTTGCCTCACTGATCCTCTTCTCTTCCATGCCAGCCAGAGTGGCGAGAGTGGGCAAAGTGCAGGTGGGGGAAAGAGAGGGCGCAATGAGGCAGTGGCGACAGCAGGTGCCTTCGCAGTGGTGGCAGGTGCCTTTGCAGTGGTGGCAGGTGCCTTTGCAGTGGTGGCAGGTGCCTTTGTAGTGGTGGCAGGTGCTGTGGTCGCAGGTGCCCTCGCAGTGGTCGCAGAAGGGTGCAAGGCGTGCCTTCTCAGTGGTGGTCTGGTCTCCAGCCGTGAGGGCGACAGGAGCGGAGTGCTGCAGGGTAGGCAGAGATGGGGAACGGAGAGACTTGGGAGCTTCTCAGAAGCTACCTCTGTGGAAGTCTCGTTACCCAGCAGGACCAGAGCAGAGCAGGGTAACACTGGCAAGTTGATTGATGCATGTCAGAATCTCAGTGGCTTTTGAAAACTTTTCAAGGCCAGGGAAACATTGGCAAGTTGGTTGGTTGGTGCATGCCTGAGCATGTGCCCAATCGCATGTGCCCAATCGCCTGTGCCCAATCGCCTGTGCCCAATCTCCTGTGCCCAATCTCCTGTGCCCAAATTCCTGTGCCCATGTCAGGAAATTTGTACATTTCTCCTGTCTTCTCACTGTGTCCGCCCCATTTCCCTCTCTCGCTTGCCACCCACTACAGGTACTGGTAATACTCCCGAGTCCCATGGCAGCAGCAGCAGTAGCAGCAGCAGTAACAGTGGGAATGAAACTCGCAGAGCGGAGAGTGATAGAGGGATTGAGGAGGAGGGGTCGATGCTGGGGTTGGCTGTAGACTGGAGTCAGGAGGAGCAGGAGAAGATGGAGAGGCGAGGAAGGGTAGGAACGAAGGCCCGAGGGGAGGATGGAGAGGAGGATAGAGGGGAGTTTTGGGTGAGGCGGCGGGTGGGGGGAGTGAGAAGAGCCGGGGAGAGAGTGGGTAAGGAGCATGCGGTGAGAGGGAGAAGGAAAACGAATGGCAGGGGGAAGGATGGTGGGGGCAGTGGCAGGGGGTTGCAGGAAAGGAGGAGGAAGCGAGGAGGTAGAGGAGGGGGCGGGGAAGGGAGAGGGGGAGGGCGAGTGAGGGAGTGTGAGGGGGTGATGGTGGGTGAGTGGCCAGGAGTAAATGGGCTTGCAGCAGTGGGGGCACTCATAGCTGTGCGGGGGAGGCGAGTGAGGGAGGGGAGAGGAGGGGAGAGGGGTGGGGGGAAGGATAGTGAGAGTGGTGCTGCTGATGCCGGGGGTCAGAGCAGCAGCAGCAGCAGCAATAGTTTTCCTTCCCTTGGGTGTGTGTGTGTATGCCGTCTCCCGTCGTTCTGTTTGTTTGATGCACTGCTATGCATGTCGCATTCTGATGTATATCGGATTGAAGTTGGTTTGGGAGAATTTTCAAAACCAATCCCAGTGCATGCACTGGACTTGAAAACAGTGCATGCACTGGACTTGAAAACAGCTTATCTACCACTGCTGCGTCGTCAACTGTATGCATGCCCACTTCCTGCCTTCCTCCTTCCTTATCCTCCTCTCTTTCCGCTTCTCCCTTCCTCCTATCCTCTCCTCCTCTCCTCCTCATCACCTGCTGTGCTCCAGTAAGCACAACCTCTTCCACACCCCTTCTGCAGCCCACATCCCCCACCATAGCATCCCCCACCATAGCATCCCCTTCTTTCCCCCACCTGCAATCATCTCCCCTCTTCTCTAAGCCCATGTGCCGTGGTGGGTCCTCTTCTCTCCCACACGCCCTCCGCGCCTCAAAGATCAAGGCTGTGCGCCTGAATCTTCATGCTGCAACCCCTCGTCCCACTAAACCCCCCTTTTGTCTCGCAGCTCCTGTGCTGTGGTGGGTCCTCACCTCTCCCATGCACCCTCCGCGCCTCACTTTGGGGCAGCCATCGACTCGCACTCCCTCGTGCTGCGCATGGGGCAGCGCACCTCGCCCACCCGCCTGCAGGCCTACATGTGAGTGTGCTGAAAAGGTATGCACTGGGTGCGTGCGATGCAGTGCATTGGTGGGTGCGTGCTGTTGTAATTTCATATTTCATACAACATACATAGGCTAGAAGTGTAGCACATTTATAAAATGGGGGGTTGCTTAGTGTACCCTCCAACCACATTTTGTGGTTGGTTGGGATTGGTCCTTAGCTCAACCAATCCCAACCAACACACATTTGTGGTTGCTTGGGTCACAAGCAAGCTCACCCATTGGTCAACGTATTGGCCAATAGGGTAAGCTTTCCTCTCATCTCTCTATTGCTCATTGTTTGTACTAAAGAGCCTCTTGGCTCATTATTCAATGTATCAATTCTCTCTCTTCTAACATGGTATCATGAGCTAATGGCTCACGCCTACCTCCCTCGGTCCTTAGGCCACCCTCTCCTCCCCGTTCCTCAGATCTAGCCCCACCCACGGAGCTGCCCTCCCTTCACGCGCCCTTTAGGCGCTGTCCTCCCTCCCCGTGCGCCCCCTAAGGCGCTGCCCTCCAAGGCACGTCCAGATCTGCAACTCCAGCGCCCAGATCTGCACTCCCCGCGCTCAGATCTGCAACTCCAGCGCCCAGATCTGCACTCCCTGCGACCAGATATACTCCTCCCGCGCCTAGATCTGATCATTCCGCGCCCAGATCTGGATTCCGCGCCACCAGATCTCCTCCTCCCGCGCCCAGATCTGAACATTTCGCACCCAGATCTGCACTCCGCGCGCCCAGATCTGCATTCCGCCTGCCCAGATCCGCCCTCTGCGCGCTCAGATCTGCCCTCCGCGCGACCAGATCTGCACTCCGCGCGACCAGATCTGCACTCTGCGCGACCAGATCTGCACTCCACGCGACCAGATCTGCACTCCGCGCGACCACATCTGCACTTCGCGCGCCCAGATCTGCCCTCCGCGCGCACAGATCTGCACTCCGCGCGATCAGATCTGCACTCCGCGCGACCAGATCTGCACTCCGCGCGACTAGATCTGCACTCCGCGCGACCAGATCTGCACTCCGCACGACCACAACTGCACTTCGCGCGCCCAGATCTGCCCTCTGCGCGCCCAGATCTGCACCCCGCGCGACCAGATCTGCACTCCGCGCGACCAGATCTGCACTCCGCGCGACCAGATCTGCACTTCGCGCGCCCAGATCTGCCCTCCGCCCAGATCTGCACTCCGCGCAACCAGATCTGCACTCCGCGCGACCAGATCTGCCCTCCGCGCGACCAGATCTGCCCTCCGCGCGACCAGATCTGCCCTCCGCGCGACCAGATCTGCATCTCCCGCGCTGAAATCTGACCATTTCGCGCCCATCTCTGCACGTCCCGCTCGTTTGCCGCGGGCTGTCCCGCGTGCATTCGCCCCTCCTTGCTGGTCCGCTCTCAACCCTCGCCCCACTCCCCTTGAGGTCTGTTCCTCTCCCCTTTATGAACCTCCCTCCTCCACCCACGCCCACCAGGCCCTCGCCCCTCCCCAGCAGCAGCACCAGCGACAGCAACAGCAGCAGCAGCTTGGGAATCAGCAGCAAGGGTCACAGCAGTATGGGCAGTAGCTTCTCCTCTCTCAGCTCCAGCAGCAGCTCCAGCATCTCCAGCAGCAGCTCGACCTCCAGCCGCAAATGCCCCTCCTCCCTCCTCCGGTTTCCCAACAGCAGCCCTTTCCTACCTGGACTGCTGGGAGTGCTGCCTCTGCAGCCCATCTCTCGGGTGCGACCCCGGCGCCGTCTGCAGGTGGCAGAATGACCGCTTTCCCTTCCTGTGGTTTTGTTGGTTTATTAGGTCAACCTGAATCTGTTGCATCTCCCATGTACCCTTCTTCTGTTAATGAAACATCATTCCAGTACTCTGCCTCACCTTCCTCCACCATTGACTTCGTTCTGGACAGTGGAGCCCCTGACACTGTCCTTCGCGACGCTGGTACACTGCGCCCTCTCCCCACACCAACCTCCCTCCTCGGCGCTGATAGCAGTTTTTCCATCCCTTGTCACAACACCTCCACCCTTCCCTGTCCTCTCTTTCCCTCAGGTACTGTCACCGGTCTCCACATTCCCTCCCTTCGTACTAACCTCCTCTCCCAAAGGTCCCTCCAACAAGCCATGATCACCACTCTCATCCCAGGTGGTGCTAACCATTGTGACCTATACCAAACCTCCACAGGTCGTTTTCTCGCCCGTATTCCCTATTGTCCCCGCTCCCGTCTGTACACCCTTCGGGTTCCCCGCCCCTTCACCTTCCAAGTTGCCTCCCCCCCCCTCCTTCCCCCCCCCCCCCCCCCTCCCCTCCCTCCCACTAACCCACCCCCCCCCCCCCCCGCCCTTCTGACTCTGACTGTTCCTGTTGCTCCCTCTCCCACCCCACCATCCTCCTCCATCACAGGCTAGGCCACCCGAACTTCGCTACTCTGCGCTCCTCTGTCTCCTCCGGTCTCCCCTACTCTGCCCATCCCATGCCCCCCCCCTGCACCGTCTGCGTTCAGAGCAAGCTCAAGCAGCAGCCGCACCGGAGCTCCCCCTCCGCTGCTACGCAGCCACTTGATCTTGTTCACATGGACCTATGGGGCCCTAATCCCTCTCCCACTCGCCAGGGCCATCTCTACCTTCTCGTGCTTGTTGATGATCACAGTCGGTACTCGTCCGTCTCTCTCCTTTGGACGAAGGCGGATGCCCCAGCTGCGATCATCGCCCGAGCGGGCAAACACCCATTTTGGGCGCCCTGTTGGCCGCCTTCACTCTGATAGAGGTGGTGAGTTCCTTAACAACCAAGTCTCCTCCTATTGTCAGTCTCGTGGCATCTTTCAGACTTGCACCCTCCCTCACTCCCCACAGCAGAACGGCGTGGCTGAGAGTCGTGTTCGAGAGATCACCAAAACAGCCCGGTGTCTGTTTGTCCACGCCTCCTGCCCCCCTTCTCTTTGGGGCTACGCCCTCCTTCATGCCGCCCTCCTTACTAACCTTTACCCTCACCCCCTTCTCCCCTCCATCACCCCCACTGAGCTGTGGACGAAGGACAAGCCTGATGCCTCAACACTTCGTGTCTGCGGCTCTAAGGCACATGTCCTCATTCACCCCTCTGACCGCTCCCGTTCCATGGGAAATCTTGCCCCTCGTACCCTTCCGTGCATCTTCCTTGGTCATAATCCCTCCTCCCCTGACTACCTTTTCCTCCACCCACCATCCAGTCGTCTAATCCGCAGCCGGGATGTGGTCTTTGACGAGTCCACTCCCTACTACTCCTCTCCCACATCTACTGACCCACTCCCCCCTCTCACCCGTCCCCTTGTCTGGTCTGACACCACCCCTCCCCCACTACTCCCTCCTCCCCCCATCCTCCCACCCCCCCCTTCTCCGCCGTCCCAGTCCCATGGTGCCCCTCCCTCTTCTGGTGACATCTTTGACCCGGAACCTCTGTCTTCTCCTGTCTCCCCCGCTCACTCCTCTCCTAGTACCCCTCCCCCCCCCCCCCTTCCTCTCCCTCGCCACCAACCCGTCCTCCCCCTTCCCGCACCATACTCACCCGGTATCCCCACACCAGGTCACGTGACGGTATCCTTGGTGCACCGCCTCCCGTTACCCTCTCTACCTCTACCCTCCCCCCTCTCTCCCCCCTCCTCCGTCACTTCTTCCAGGCTGTCTTGCATCAAGCCCCTCATGCAACAACCCCCTCAACCACCTCCTCTCCAGCAGCGGCACCGGCAGTGGGACCAGCAGCGGCAGCAGCAGCAGCGTCAGCAGCCGCAGCAGCAGCAGGACCAGCAGCGGCAGCAGCAGCGGGAGCGGCATCGGCAGCAGCAGCGGGACCAGCAGCGGCACCAGCAGCACTAGCAACAGTACCAGCAACAGTACCAGCAGCGGCACCAGCAACGGCACCAGCAGCGGCACCAGCAGCGGCACCAGCAGCGGCACCAGCAGCGGCACCAGCAGCGGCACCAGCAGCAGTACCAGCACCGGCACCGGCAACGCCTCCACCAGCAGCACCAGCAGCGGCACAAGCAGTCATCCGCGCCTTCCACACCTCCCTCTCTGAGGACTCCCATGAAGAGTTCCTTGACCTCCACCTTTATGACCCCTCGCTTCTACCCATCATGTTCGACCTCTTTAGCACACCTGTCTTCGCCTTCTCCTCTGCTCCCTCCATTTCCGTTCCTACCACGTACGAGGAGGCAATGGCGTGCCCTGACGCTCCGCTATGGCTCGCCGCCATCATCAAGGAGTTGGAGGCCTTTATCGGCAACTCCTCGTTTGTCGATGTGCCTCGCCCTCCCGGCCCTACGAACGTGGTGAAAGGAAAGTGGGTGTTTCGCGTCAAGCAGCTGCCAGGGGAGCCGCCTGTTTATAAGGCTCGTTACTGCGCCAAGGGTTTTACGCAGCGGTATGGTTTTGACTTCTTCGATACCTTCTCCCCTACTGCCAAGCCTGCTACTGTTCGCGCCGTGCTCGACCTCGCCGCTCGCCTCAATATGGAGATCCACTCGATGGACGTTTCTAACGCCTTCCTACAAGGCGTCCTCCGCGAGCTTATCTACATGGAGCGTCCAGCCGGCTTTCACCTCCCCTTCCCAGCAGACTCTGTTTGGCAGCTGCGTCGACCGGTGTATGGGCTCCGACAGGCCTCGAGGGAGTGGCATGCTAAACTTGCCGCCACCCTTGCTGAACTTGGGTTCCGCACCTCCCGCTCCGACGCCAGCCTCTTCCTCCGCACCTCCCCCTCCCCATTGTACATCCTTGTGTATGTCGATGACATGATTCTGCTCACTGCCGACCTTGGAGAGTTGGAGCATGTTAAGCCTGAGTTGGGCATCCGTCTCAAGTGCAAAGACTTGGGAGAGCTGCAGCATTATCTGGGCATGACCATCACTCGTGACCGCTCCGCCCGCACCATCTCACTCTCCCAGGGTCATTACTTGTAGCAGGTCTTGGAGGGGTTTGACATGGCCCGCGGCGGCGCCCAACATACACCTCTTTCTGTCGGGCACCACCTCTCTCCACCCACCTCCCCCTCAGCCTCCTCCCATCCTTATCCCGAGCTCATCGGCTCCCTCATGTACGCCATGGTCTCCACTCGCCCTGACCTTGCCTATCCCATCAGCGTCCTCGCTCGTTTTGTTGGCGCAGGCAAGCATACGGAAGAGCACTGGCAGGCCGCCAAGCGTGTCCTCCGGTACCTTCGTGGCACCAAGGACTATGTCCTTACCCTTGGCGGCCCCTCCCCACCTCTTCTCAGCGGCTACAGTGACTCCTCCTGGGCTGATTCCCAACCAGATCGTCGCTCCTCCCAGGGCTATGGCTTCTCTCTTGGCAGCGGCCTTATCAGCTGGCGCTCCACCCGCTCCTCGGCTGCAGCCCTCTCCTCCTGCGAGGCGGAATTGTATGCCGCCACCATGGCTGCGCAAGAGGCCCGCTGGCTCACCTTCCTTCTTGAGGAACTTGGTGCTCCCCAGCGCTGTCCCACAATTTGGTGTGACAATGCTAGTACCATTCACCTCACCAAAGATGCTGTGTTTCACGGGCGCTCCAAGCACATTGAGCTCCGTCATTTCTTCATTCGCGATCTTGTTCAGGCGGGGCACCTTCGCCTCGACAAGGTTGACTCGGCGGCCAACCTTGCCGACGTCTTCACAAAAGCTCTTCCTCATGCCGCTCACTCTTTCCTACTTCGTCTTCTTGGCCTCACTACTCCTAAGTCACCTCCCGCCTCTTGATTTTAGCCTTCTAGCCTTATGCATGTTGTGTTGTAATTTCATATTTCATACAACATACGTAGGCTAGAAGTGTAGCACATTTATAAAATGGGGGGTTGCTTAGTGTACCCTCCAACCACATTTTGTGGTTGGTTGGGATTGGTCCTTAGCTCAACCAATCCCAACCAACACACATTTGTGGTTGCTTGGGTCACAAGCAAGCTCACCCATTGGTCAACGTATTGGCCAATAGGGTAAGCTTTCCTCTCATCTCTCTCTTGCTCATTGTTTGTACTAAAGAGCCTCTTGGCTCATTATTCAATGTATCAATTCTCTCTCTTCTAACACGTGCATTAGTGTGTGCATGTGTACACCACTAATGCACACACCCACCAATGCGCACACCCACCAATGCACACACCCACCAGTGCACACACCCACCAGTGCACACACCCACCAATGCACACACCCACCAATGCACACCCGCGTGCTGTTCACCACCCAGGCGTGTTGCTGGGACAGCATGTTCACTTGCACTCCCCCATGCTGTCTACGGCCCAGCAACAAGCCTGGGTTGTGGCACAGTAGCAACAAGCCTGGGTGGTGGCACAGTAGCAACAAGCCTGGGTGGTGGCACGGCACGGTAGTAACAAGCCTGGGTGGAGATGGGGGGAACTAAAGGGAACTTGACCTTCCTTTCACTGATTCTCTAGTCTGCTTCTCCCTCTCTCTATTTCCCCCTCATCACTCCCTCCCCCACCAGCCTGGGCAGTCGCACTGACATGTGGGTGGAGGTTGGGGGTAGAGGGGGAGGGGGCCTCTCTTTCTGAATCGCAAGCCCTTCTTGCTCTCTCCCTTCTTGCTCTCTCCCTTCTTGCCCTCGCCCTTCTTGCTCTCTCCCTTCTTGCTCTCTCCCTTCTTGCTCCCTCCCTTCTTGCTCTCTCCCTTCTTGCTCTCTCCCTTCTTGCTCTCTCCCTTCTTGCTCTCTCCCTTCTTGCTCTCTCCCTTCTTGCTCTCTCCCTTCTTGCTCTCTCCCTTCTTGCTCTCTCCCTTCTTGCTCTCTCCCTTCTTGCTCTCTCCCTTCTTGCTCTCTCCCTTCTTGCTCTCTCCCTTCTTGCTCTCTCCCTTCTTGCTCTCTCCCTTCTTGCTCTCTCCCTTCTTGCTCTCGCCCTTCTTGCTCTCGCCCTTCTTGCTCTCTCCCTTCTTGCTCTCTCCCTTCTTGCTCTCTCCCTTCTTGCTCTCTCCCTTCTTGCTCTCTCCCTTCTTGCTCTCTCCCTTCTAGCTCTCTCCCTTCTTGCTCTCTCCCTTCTTGCTCTCTCCCTTCTTGCTCTCGCCCTTCTTGCTCTCTCCCTTCTTGCTCTCTCCCTTCTTGCTCTCTCCCTTCTTGCTCTCTCCCTTCTTGCTCTCTCCCTTCTAGCTCTCTCCCTTCTTGCTCTCTCCCTTCTTGCTCTCTCCCTTCTTGCTCTCTCCCTTCTTGCTCTCTCCCTTCTTGCTCTCTCCCTTCTTGCTCTCTCCCTTCTTGCTCTCTCCCTTCTTGCTCTCTCCCTTCTTGCTCTCTCCCTTCTTGCTCTCTCCCTTCTTGCTCTCTCCTTGCTCTCTCCCTTCTTGCTCTCTCCCTTCTTGCTCTCTCCCTTCTTGCTCTCTCCCTTCTTGCTCTCGCCCTTCTTGCTCTCTCCCTTCTTGCTCTCGCCCTTCTTGCTCTCTCCCTTCTTGCTCTCTCCCTTCTTGCTCTCTCCCTTCTTGCTCTCGCCCTTCTTGCTCTCTCCGTTCGTGCTCTCTCCCTTCTTGCTCCCTCCCTTCTTGCTCTCTCCCTTCTTGCTCTCTCCCTTCTTGCTCTCGCCCTTCTTGCTCTCTCCCTTCTTGCTCTCTCCCTTCTTGCTCTCTCCCTTCTTGCTCTCTCCCTCCTTGCTCTCTCCCTTCTCCCTTTCATCCCCCTCTCCCTTTCATCTCCCTCTCCCTTTCATCCTTCCCTCCCTTTGATTCCCCCCTCTCCCCACGCACCAGCCTGGGCAGTCGAACAGACGTGTGGGTGGAGGTGGAAGGGAAGGAAGGGAGATCCCCTCCTTTCTGTCACAACTCCTTCTGCTCTCTCCCCTCTCCCTTCAATCTCCCCCTCCCTCCCCCCACCAGCCTGGGCAGTCGAACAGATGTGTGGGTGGAGGTGGGGGGTGGAGGGGGAGGGGGCCTGCATGGCACACACGAGGTGGGGGGAGGGGCGGGGGGAGGGGGCACGGGGAGAGGGCTCACCAAGGGGATGGGGAGAGGAAGGGGGAGAGGGGTGGGGCGGCGACGCTTGCTGGGGCTGAAGGGCCGATCGGTGGCATTCCTACGTGCTGACAGGTGCGAGTGTTAGGGACGTTTTTGTAGTTCACTCAAAAAGATAGTTTTGGCTGTCGAGTTGACACAGAAGACACCTTCCATGGGCTGAAGGGACGATCAGTGGCATACCTACGTGCTGACAGGTGAGAGATTGGCATACCTACGTGCTGACAGGTGCGAGTGTGGGGAGTGAGAGTGTGGGGAATGATTATGATTTGATCAGAAAAAAGTCTGTTGGCTTTTGAGTTGATTCAAGAGTCAACTTGCTGGGGCTGACGGGCCGATCAGTGGCATACCTACGCGCTGACAGGTGAGAATGGGGGGAGTGAGAGATTGGGGAGTAAAAGTAAACTTTCTGAAGCTGGTGAATCACTCCGTGGCATACCTGCATGCTGATAGGTGTGAGGAGTGAGAGGGTGGGTAGTGAGTGTGGGGAGTAAGAGTGTGGGGAATGAGGGTGTGGAGAGTGGGAATGTGGCGAGGGAAAGTGTGGGGAGTGAGAGAGTGGGGAGTGAGAGAGTGGGGAGTGAGAGAGTGGGGAGTGAGAGAGTGGGGAGTGAGAGAGTGGGGAGTGAGAGAGTGGGGAGTGAGAGAGTGGGGAGGGAGAGAGTGAGGAGTGAGAGTGTGGGGAATGAGGGTGTGGGGAGTGGGAATCTGGTGAGGGAGAGTGTAGAGAGTGAGTGTGGGGAATGAGAGTGTGGGAGTGAGATTGTGGGGAGTGAGAGTGTGGTGAGTGAGAGAGTGGGGAGTGAGAGAGTGGGGAGTGAGATAGTGGGGATTGAGAGAGTGGGGAGTGAGAGAGTGGGGAGTGAGAGAGTGGGGAGTGAGAGAGTAGGGAGTGAGAGAGTGGGGAGTGAGAGAGTGGGGAGTGAGAGAGTGGGGAGTCACAGGGGAGGCCAGACATAAACACGAGCCTGGTCGGCTCGGTACAAATCGTGTTGGGTGCGAGGTCGCAAATCGAGTCATTTGTCATTTGTGTGGCGAGCCATGATTGACTGGAGTGCATACGAGGGTTCACGACGACACCCCTGCAAGGCGCCTCATCATCCCCTTTCGCCTTCTGTTCCTCCCTGCACCTCGTCCCCCTGTCTCCCCCCTCACTCCCCTCCCACCTTCCCACTGCCCGCCAGCTCGGCCCTTGTTGCCTCACTGCCCTGGCTGCCACCGCTGCAGCAGCTGGGTTTGAGCAGAGGGCACGTGGGCAAGCGACGAGGGGATGCAGGGGAGGATGATGAGGTGAGCTATGCGGTGTGTAAGCGTCCCATGTCCTCTCCACTCCTTCGTCCAGCTCAGCCCTTCTTGCCTCACTGCCCTGGCTGCCAGCCTTGCAGCAGCTGGGTGTGAGCAGAGGGCACGTGGGCAGGCGATGCGGGGACACGAGTGCAGGGGGCGAGGAGGATGAGGTGAGCGAAATCCATTCAATTCATGGAGATGCCTAGTGGACCTTATCACAACCTGCTATTCGTTTTGGAGGTGCCTTTTGTTTTGGAGGTGCCCGACTATTTTCTTTTAGCATGGACCACACCACATACATACCTGCCCTCTGTTCTGGAGGGTTAGAACAGCAATTTATCCGTCCAGCGTCCATGCCTCCGTTTCTTCCCTTCCCTCCTCCCCCCGCCCTCCTCCTCCTCTCCCCCCCCTCTCCCCCCCCCCCTTTCCCCTCAGGCCCTCTTCCTCCCCCACGCACTAACGGACGAAGCTCGCCGCCTCTTCAACGCCTTTGCCCACCGCTTCCAATGTGCCATCGGTGCTCCCATGCCTGCAGCCTCTGGTGCTGCTTCTAGTGCTACAGCTGCTGCTGCTGCTGCAACAAGTGGGGTGGTGGCAGCGGCAGCAGGGGCAGCAGGGGCAGCAGGGGCAGGAGGGGAAGCAGTCATCCCCATCCCCATGCCGCACATGCCCCCGCACTGGCCCGTGCTCTACGTGCTGCTGCATGCGTGCGACAAGCTCACATTGTTTGGCCTTACCCGCAACGCCTCCGTGCATGTGCTGCAGAGGTGAATCTTCCCAGCGCCTAAAGAGCTGTTCATACTAGACTCCTTGTTGTTGCAAGTGACGTGTAAAAAGTGATATTTTGAGACGTCTCAAATATTCACGTTTTACATGTTGCTGTTCATATTACAATCCTTGTTGTTGCAAGCGTTTTTTGAAAGTTGGTTGTACCAAAGTCTCTATGGCATGCTCTAACGTGCATCCCCAACCACCTCCTCACATCAAGGTCACTTCTCCTCCCTTGTCTCCCACCCATTTTCCCCCAGCCCCATGCACGTGCCTTCAGTGCGATCAGAGCTGCATCGGCGCCCATCGCTGCTGGTGCTAGAGTCACTGCTCCATTCACTGGCACGCACCAACTTGCTCAGCTGCTGCGGGGGCATCGAAGACCACTTCTGTCGCCTGCCACTGCTGCTGCCTGTGCGTGATAGAGGTGGGAGAGAGAGTGTTGCCTCTGGGGGTGATAGGGGTGCGAGCAGTGAGAGGGACAGTGTTGCCTCTGGTGCTAGTGGAACAGGGGAGGTGGCTTCTGGTGCGGGTGGTAATGGTGCAGGCTTGCTTGGTGGAGAGGGGACTGGGGAAGGAGTTGGGGTGGCAGGTAGAGGCATGGGATGGGCTGGACAGGAGAGGCAGGAGAAAGAGGGGACAGGGCAGGGGGGTGAGGAAGCTCGCAGTGGTGCTGGCGATGGTGAAGTGCATGGGAACGAAGGGGGCACTGCTCTTAGCAGAAGATCTGTTAACGAGGAAGACTATGATGAGGATGAGGTGGATAGCAGAGGCAGGGCAGGGAAGGTGGTAGGGGGGCAGGGTGCTGTGGAGGGGGCAGGGTGGGGGGATGAGTATGGGGACGAGGGGGAGGAATGGGGGGAGGCGGGAGAGGGGGAAGGGGGGGGAGAAGGGACGGGTGGGGGGGAAGATGATTACGAGTATGATGATGACTACTATGGGGCGCCTATTGAGGAGTTGATGAGTGACCTGGAGCATGCCAATGCGGCACATGCCCAAGAGGTGCAACAAACAGATGCGTAATTCTTTCTATAGCGAATAGAATTAGGGCGGTATCTTTTATAGAGATACTGTTGGGCTGAGAAAAAAAGCCCTTAGGATCTTTGCAGGACTAAACTCTGAGTAGGAACAATGTAATAGCGGAAGCGTTTAATGATAAGTCTGTGAACCACCTTGCGTTGGTATGTGAGGGCAAAGTAGATTAATTAAAACAAAGAGATACAAGCTTATATAGGAGTACAAGGAATACGAAGAGATACAGTTAATAACCGTTTTACTATTGCTGTTGCGGTTCGATACAGTGACGACTCGGGCAACTACTCAATAACGAGTCAGTTGTTTGTCCTTGCTGTCGCGCTGTACTTGTCACGTCAAAGGTCGCTTACCTTTGACTTTCGCGTAACCTCCAGCAGTTGCTCAACCTCCGAAGGTTGACTCGCTGATGCTTCGTTGTGTTTCGCTTCGTTTACGACTTGATGTTTCGACGCGACAGAGGCGCTTAAATCACTTGTTTCCAACACTCCTCTTCGCTTCTGGAGTGTCGCTGCTGGTGACGTGGCTATGTCCAGTCAGCAGCATGCAGTACTCGAACTTATGCTTTTCGAGCTTCTTGGTCAAGTAGTCAGCTGCCATCTCGGATGTAGGGCGATAGTGTCGGCATATTTCGCGGCGTTGAGATAGATCGCGCCTTCCTCTTCCTGGATGTTGAGGCCGAGGTATTGCGTGACGGTTGATGACACTGTGAGAGTGAGGTCCTGCTGCAGCTCCCCTTTGAACCAAGTAGTGACGCTGTCAGTCGAGCCGATGTAGAGCAGAATGTAGTTGTCACCTTTCGTGAGCCGGTACATGCCCTGGTCGTGCGGAAGTTGGCGGAATCCGATGCGGATAAGTCTAGCGTGTAGGTACTGTTGCCACAGTCTCGGGGCTTGTTTAATATCGTACAGGGACTTCAGCAGCTGACAAACTTGGTTGGGCTCTCCGTTGGAGCCGTGTGGAAGTTCGACGAAGATTTCGGCGTCAACAGGTGCGTCGAGAAATGCATTGGCGACGTCAATTTGCCGCAGCTTCTTCTTCTTCATGGCGGCGATCGCGAGGAGAATTTGAAACGAAGTGTGTCGGCTGACCGGGGCGAACGTCTCGGTGAAATCGCGTCCGTGCTCTTGGTCGAAATCGCGCACGACCCAGCGCGCCTTAAACTTGTCGATGGTGCCGTCTGCCTTTGTCTTCACACGGAAAACCCATTTTCCGGTGAGAACTGTTTTGTTCCGTGCCACTCCGATGGGAACGAATTTCCAAGTGCTGCGTTCCTCCAGTGCTTTCAGTTCCCTGTCCATGGCTTCACGCCATTTTTCCCTATGCTCCCCCCCCAGAGCCTGCTGAACTGTGGCAGGCTCCTTAGGAATCGCCGTGCCGTGAACCGCGGTGACAAGGCCGAGTATCTGGAGTCCACTCTGTGTGTAGCGGGGGAGTGTTGTATCCTCGGGATAGACTGCTTCATCTCCCGCTTCTGGTGTAGGGTTGAAATTTGGTTCTATGCGTTCTCCTTCGTTGGTGTTGACTTGTGCAGGTTTTACGTAACCATTGTCGGCGAAGTGATAGTAGATTTCGGCATTGATGCTGTCGCGTGGATTTTCGTCGTCCATCGGAACATCGACCGAACAGTAGGGAAGATGTTCGGCTTCCTCCGAGGCTCCTTCCACGTTTTGCTCGTCCTAGTCAGCTTCGTCTTCTGCCGAAGCGAAGGCTTGGCTGCCAAGGAATCCGCCCGAGAGGTCTGGGTTGTGTCGATGTCGAAAATCTTCCATGCATTGTAATGTTTTTCGATGCCCAGGTTGACTCGCTGATGCTTCGCTGTGTTTCGCTTCGTTTACGACTTAGTGTTTCGACGCGACAGAGGCGCTTTAATCACTTGTTTCCAACAGATACTTTGTTACAAATGGAACAAATAAATCATAAGGTTGGGTTAAGTTCCTAACTGTTTGTTGCAGTATCGCTTAGTGACTTGCTTTTCTGAGTGTAGATCAAATGACTTTGCTGGGTGAGGAACAGTTTTATCCTCGCTTGTCCTCGTGAAGTCATCGTGACACCCATGCTGAGCTGGTGTGGATTTGCATCTTGCCACGTCAAGAAAATCTGCCAAGGGGGGGGAAATGGGGCGCGCCTTCTGTTTATGTCAATGTTGCTTGGGTGCTTTTGACAAAATTAGAAGAAAAGAAGAGGGTTGAACTAGCAGGAATGAGGATACAAATAGCAAAACCCTAGAAGGGTTGTACTCGCTATAGAGCACCCCACTACAGGCTAGAGCATAAGATAACATTCTGACACACCCCCATAGCCAAAGTGGGGTGTAATCAGCAGAGCAGGCAAAGCAGTACAAGCTCAGGGTGGATCACAATGTCACCACACATTCTGAGCACAAGTTCAAGAAGCAATAGTTTAAAGGGTACAATTATGACCAAAGCTAGTGGTAGTCACAACGGGCAAGCGAGGAGGAGGAGAGAGAGTGAGAGGAGAGAAGATAGGAGGCGACGGCTGAAGCTGCAGACACACTGGCAACAGGAGGCAGACTGGCACAGCGGCTACCGGACGAAGTCCCCGGAATACAGGAGTAGCAGGCCCCGCGGCTAAAGTAGCGGCAGACGAGCAACGGACCCACGGGCGGCTGGCACAGCTGGCTACGACTGGGCTACCGGACGAAGTCCCCGGACTACAGGTGCTGCTGGCGACACGACGGCAACCTCCGTGCAACTTCCCCAAACAGTCCCACTTCCCCGACACACACCCGCTGCTACACCCCTAGCTCCACTCCCACGCACCCCCCCTTAAACCCTAAACCCCAGTCTCCCACACATCCACCCCCCTCAGCGACAGCTGCAGCAGTGGGAGACGAAGGAGGAGGAGGAGCAAAGGGAGGAATGAGGAAGTGCCACCCCCATACTCGCCACCACCTGCGTGCCACCCCCAAACCCTAACACAGAAAGGGTGGGATGGCGGGTAGGCAGGGTGGGATGGCGGCGCTCGCCCGGCCCCCGAGGGTCGCCTCGACGGGCGACGGGAAATGGGGCCGGGGCGCAAGGAGGGCGGCGGGGCCACAGGTGTAGGGCGGCGGGGCCGCGAAGGTGGGGCGGCGGGGCCGCGACAGAAGGGCGGCGGGGCCGCGAAGTGGGGCGGCGGGGCCGCGAACGTAGGTTGGCGGGGCCGCAACGTAAGGCGGCGGGGCCGCGACGTGAGGCGGCGGGGCCGCGAAGTGGGGCGGCGGGGCCGCGACGGGTCCCCGTCGCCCGTCGCGGCGCCTCCAGAGGGCGACGCGGCGAACGACGGGGCAGAAGCCCGCCGCGCGCCACGGGGCGCAGAGCGGGCAGAGAACCGCCGCGCGCCTCGGGGCGCACGGCGGGCAGAAAACCGCCGCGCGCCTCGGGGCGCACGGCGGGCAGAAAACCGCCGCGCGCCTCGGGGCGCACGGCGGGAAGAAAAAGTTGCAGCGGAAGCGAGGAGGTGGTAACCCACCCACAGGATCGATCCAAGAGGATCTACCTGCTCTGATAGCATGACAAAATTAGAAGAAAAGAAGAGGGTTGAACTAGCAGGAATGAGGATACAAATAGCAAAACCTTAGAAGGGTTGTACTCGCTATAAAGCACCCCACTACAGGCTAGAGCATAAGATAACATTCTGACAGCTTTGACGGGGAAGACCCAGCCAGATGACAGAAAGCGCTTGACGGAAATCGTTAGAAAGCCCAAGTCTTGACGGAAACCGTTGTAATTTTCTGACTTCTTCCTTGTACACGAATCCCCCCACCCATCCATGCTTCCGTACCATATCCCCTCTCCTGCCTAGTCCTTCCATGCCACTCCCCTAGCTGGCCAGAGTGCTGCGCATTTCAAGATTTCTAAAATTTCGTGTTTTCGTATAGCATCGCAACCAAGTCGCTGCGCCATTTCGACTTCGACACCCCTTGAACCTGGAATTGTTGTCGGAAATAGTAGAGCTTGCACTCACCGCACATTCAGACTCACATCCTGGTATACCGTAGCGAGTACAGACAGCGCGCAATCATGGCCGCACCGCGAGAGATATTCGTTATAGGCACAATGGACACGAAATCCGAGGAGCTGCTCCTCCTCGTGTCGCAGCTCAAACGGTCCCTTACCTCCTTAACCCCTGCGGAACCGCAACACCTCCACCCACACGTGCTCTCTTCTGTCCCACACGGGCCCCCCACCCTCGCCACCGCTTTCACCGCCTGCCATGATCTCATCGCCACTCATCCGTGCTTGCCCGTGCCTGCCACCAGGTGAAGTGGTGCATGGGGGAGGCGGAGCTGGCGCTCAAGAACGTGAGCGCGTGGATGGACTCCCTCGCCTCGCCCTCCCCGTACGCCCATCCCCCACCACACCCCACCCCCGCACCTGCCATGCCTCTCACACTCGCTTCGCATTTGAGCATGCGAAAGCCTTGCCTTTCAACACCCTAAAGCTCTGTCTGTCTGTTTGAGTCTCTGCTTCCACAGAGTTGACCCCTTCATACCCCTTACAATCCACGTGCCTCCTACCATATCTCACTTTCCACCTCACCGTTGACCCGCCCCACCTCCTCTCCGGAAGTATACTTCTTGCCACCATGTCCACACACCCCTCACACTCCACCCCTCGCAACCCTCACATCGCGGTCGTGGCAGCGATGGCGCCACACCTGCCATGCCGTGAGGGGGCTGCAAGCCGCCTCACCCTCACTGATCACACACTGTGCGTTGCCTCTCTCGCTCCCTCCAGCGAGGACGCAGCACGGGTGAGCGCACTGAGGGTGCGCGGGGTGGAGTTGGACGCGCTGCTCGCTGACATCCGTGCCGCCCCGCGCCCCGCCCTCTCCATCTCCCACCCCTCCCTGCTCCGCGTGCCACGCATCTCCCCTGCCTCGCCGCCCTCCGCCACGGTACTTGCAGCGCCCACAGCAGCACCTGCCCCGGTTGCCACCTTCCCCGTCACCGTCGTCATCGCCCCCGTGGGAGGCGCCTCCTCCACCCTCAACGCACCTGCTGCTGCTCCTGCCGCCGGGGCGGCAGGACCGCGCCGCCCATTCAAACCGTCACTGCAGATCGCAGGGGATGCAGTGGGCGGCATGGGCGGTGGAGCGCCAGAGTCGCCCGAGGACGGCGCGCCGATGACGCCGTTTGTGATCTCGGGCAGCATGCGACGCCAGCAGGGAGGCGGGTTCCGCGACGAGCAGGGCCGGCTGAGACGCCCCGCGAGGAAACCCGGTGTGGCGTCGATCGCTGAGGGCGTGGAGGGGCCGGGCGACAAAGGCGGTGGGGAGGGCGGGCGACAGAGTAGTGAGGTTGAGCGTGATGAGGGAGTGGTGGGTGACGGGATCTCAGAGGGAGATGCGGGTGAAAAGGCTGGTTCGGAGGCAGAAGAGACAGGGAGTGCGGAGGGCAAGGTGATATGGTGAGAAAGCTTCATTAGTGGCTTTCTATGGCTGCCATGTGCATGATAACGCGCGCAAAAGTATTGGTGTGCGTTGTGTGAGTATTGGTGTACTCGGCTTACATATTTTCACATGTTACCGTCATCGCCCGAATATAAGACATATATGTCTTATCTCGTACACTAGAAAAAATGCTTGGGTTATCTTGTATTTGGGGAGGTTTTGGGTATCTTATAAGTCTTATAAATGGGCAAAGAACCGTTTAGAAGATATCCCCTCGTTATACAATTGCTCCTAACTCTTACACTTGCTTAACTCGTACACACAAATAGGTGTCTTATAATGAGGCTAGCCTGTTTATGAGAGACACCCGGATAATAGACAACCCATGTCTACTATTCAACACCGTCTACTATCCGGGTGATGACAGTATTATCTCACAATACATGGCCGATCTAAGCAAGCTCGATCGGGTGCTGTACATGTCCCAGCCGGACTACTTCAACGACGGAACCGGCCGGGTGTGTAAGCTGCTGAAGAGCCTGTACGGGCTGAAGCAGTCGCCGCTGTTGTGGTACTTGGCGCTCAACGATGTGCTGGTCGGCGCTGGGTGGAAGAAGAGCCAGGTCGACGAGGCTCTTTACTTCAAGGTCGGCGAGGGTGGAGTAGCCTGCTGGGTGCTGGTCTACGTCGACGACCTGCTTGCCGCCAGCAGCAGCGCCACGATGCTGAAGGAGCTGAAGGAGCTGCTGGAAGCCGCCTTCGAGCTGCGCGAGATCTCGCCGGTGCAGAAGTACCTCGGGCTGGAGATCGTGCGCGACAGGTCGGCGGGGAAGCTGTGGCTGCACCAGCAGGGCTACGCCGACAAGCTGCGTAGGCGCTTCCTCGATGAGGAGCAGACCGGGCGCACCCCGAAGACGCCGGTCTCGGTCGGTGCCTACGCCGAGCTCACCTTCGATGACGAGGAGGCGCAGGAACGGCAGGAGGAGGAGTACCGGCAGAAGGTCGGCTCGCTGCAGTTCGCGGCGACGACGACGAGGCCGGACGTCGCCTTCGCCTGTAGCAAGCTGGGGAGCGGCCTCACGGTGAGGAGCGACCAGCACTGGCGCGAGGTCGACCGCTGCCTCGCCTACCTCGCCAACACACGTGACACCGCCCTGGAGTTCGGCGGTGGACCTGAGTCGCTGGAGCTGGTCGGCTACGTGGACGCCGACGACGCCGGTGACAAGCAGAACAGGACGAGCACGAGCGGCTACGTGTTCGTCTACGGAGGGGCTGCAGTCTCCTGGTCGAGCCAGCGCATCAAGTGCGCGACGTTGTCGTCGACCGAGTCGGAGTACGTGGCAGCCACTGAAGCTGGCAAGGAGGGACGCCGCCTTCGCTTCCTCCTCGCAGAGTTCCGGCAGCTGGACGCCGGGAAGCCGACTGTCCTGCGCGTGGACAACAAGTCGGCCATCACGGTCGCTGAGGGCATGGGGTTGACGGGCAACCTCAAGCACATGGAACGGCGACAGGCCTGGCTGCAGCACATGGTGAGGCGCGGGAAGTTCTCGTTGCAGTACATCCCGACCGCTGAGCAGCCGGCCGACTTCCTGACGAAGGCGCTGCACTATCCGGCCTTCAACCGGTGCTCCGTCGCAATCGGCCAAGTGCGCCTGGCAGACGTGGGCGACGGCGAGAACGACGTGCAGTAGTAGGTGCCATGCCCTTTTGCATGGCTGGTGCGGTGGACGACGTGCTATGTGTTGGGTGCACGTCGACGAGCTAGTCTCCGAGCTGTACTGCCGTGTGGGCTGGGTGCCCAAGCGTGAACGCGGCAGGGGAGTGTCAACGGGAGTTGGGTATTGGCCCCGTCCTCGCTTGGGCGGAGCCGACTTCGTGGTCGGGTGTGAGTGGAGCAACCGACCTGCAGTAGTGGGTGAGCTGGTCGACGAGGAGGTCGACTTGCACGGGGGGCCACTACAAGGGCGCCGAGCAGGAGGTCGCCGCCCTGGACGCCTGGTTGGCGTCCCGGACGCCTGGACGGCGTCCTGGGAGGTGGGACGCCGAGCTGGGCGTCGCCATGACCACCCGGACGCCTGGTCGACGTCGTGGGCGTCTGCACGGCGTCCGGGGATCCGGACGCCGACCTGGGCATCGGGTCCTGACACCGACCTGGGTGTCTGGTCGGCGTCCTGGGAGGAGGGACGCCGCTCTGGAGGTTTGGTCGGCCTCCTGGGCGTCTGGACGCCGACCTAGGGGTTCGGAAGGCGTCCTGGGCGTCTGGGCACCGGACTGGGGACGCCGGGCATACGTGACCGGCTACGGACTGCGCGAGTCGACCAGGCGTGGTTGCCCGGTCGATCGGGATACCCAGGCGACATGCGCGAGTGTCGCCAGGGTGGAGACTGCGAGGCCGACCTCGGGGGTGGTATCCCGAGGTCGACGTGCCTGGTGGGCACAGCCGCTGGCATGGGGTCTGCCAGGCGTCTGCATTGTGCACGTGACAGGGAGGTGCACACCAACCAGCTGCGCGCACCTGCGAAGCAGGTGCACCGTTGTCCTGCGGATGCAACGCTGTGCAGCCGACTTGGTGCACCGCTGGCACACCGTGGACTTGCAACGTCGGCGAACCGCTACTCTGCTACGCTGGAGCGGTGCGAGCGCTGCTGCGCTGGAGTGCGGTCGACCGTGCTGCGCTGGAGGTCGGCCAACAGCCTAGCTAGCTCTGATGTAGTCAATGTTGCCAATGTTGTTGCAATCATTGTTGTCATGTTTTCCTAGTGAAACTCTTGCTAATTCTCCCCGTGAACTAGCAAGGAGCGTGAACACAAGGAAACGACTAAGTGAACGAACGCAGAGATCACACGAGCACACGTGCCTAGCCCGTAGCCTAGCTCCCGTTGCTGCAGTTATCTCCGCACTCAGCTGGGTCTTGTGCCTACCTTGCCTCACTTGCTCACCCCTTGACCTTGTTTGTATTGTTACATATATATATACACGTGCTCTTGCTTGTTTAGCCTTATATATATGTGTAATCCTGCATGTGAACTGGCCTTGTGGCCTTGAACTTGTGCTCGGAATGTGTGGTGACGTTGTGATCCGTTCTGAGCTTGCTTTGCTTTGCTTGACTGGTCTTGTGACCCCTTGTCCTCCTCCACTTGCCTATGGGGATGTGTCAGATTTATATGACTTGGCTGCTGTAGGCTATAGTGGGGTAGCACATATGGGGTACAGCTTTCTAGGGTTTGTACTTGTACCCAACTTTCCCTTAGCCTTTTCATTCTCGTTCAATTTCACAGCTCGACGGCTTGGCTGCTGAGCGGCTCGGCGGCTCGGCTGCTCGGTGGCTCGGCTGCTGGGCGGCTCGGCGGCTCGGCTGTCGGGCTGCTGGCGGCTTGGAAGGGGCCGGTAGAGACGGCGACGGGGCCGTGAAGGAGGGTAGGGCGGCGACGGGGCCGCTGAGGGCGGCGACTGGGCCGCTGAAGTCGGCGACGAGGCCGGTAGGGCGGCGACGGGGCCGATCGGGCGGCTACGGGGCTGCTTAGGGCGGCGACGGGGCCGGTAGGGTGGCAGCGAGGCCACTGAGGGCGGCGACAAGGCTGCGGGTGTCAGCGGCGAGGCCGGTAGGGTCGGCGACGGGGCCGATAAGGTCGGCGACGAGGCCGGCAGGGTCGGCGACGGGGTCGCTGAAGGCGGCGACGGGGCCGATCGGGCGGCTACGGGGCCGCTGAGGGCGGCGACGGGGCCGCAAAGGCGGCGATGGGGCTGCAAGGGTGGGCGACGGGGCCGACACGGGTCGGCGACAGGGCCGACAGGGCGGCGACAGGGCCGTTGAGGGCGGCGACGAGGCCGACAGGGCGGCGACCGGGCCGCAAGGGCGGCGACGAGGCCGCTAGGGCCGGCAACGAGGCCGATAGGGCGGCGACGGGGCCGCTAAGGTCGGTTACGGGGCCGGCAGGGCGGCTAAGGGGCCGTGAGAGGGGGCCGCTAGGGGCCTGAGGAGGGCGCGACGGGCCGCTAAGGGCTAGGACGCGACGGTAGGTAGGGCACACGGGGCGCGACTCCGGTAGAGGCAAAGCGCGCTACGGGCAGGGAAAAAAAATCGTGGTGGGCCCTTGGGAAGCGTTCCCACTAGGGAACCTGCTCTATACCATGTGAGAATGTGAGGAAGGAATGATTGCATTGAGCAGCATGAGGAGTACAAGTAGGAAACCCTAAAGAGTTGTACCCCATATTGACTACCCCACTACAGCCTAAACAGACTATAGCATATATAGTTCGACACTAACATGGCGGAAGTTGGGCGGGGGGGAAGCAGGTGGACGTGCAGCGCACCGACATGGCGAGTGTGGTGTGGATGCGCGTGCCGCGCGGGTACCAGCTGTGCGTGCGGCTGAAGGCGGGCGCGCGGCTGAAGGCGGGCGGCAAGGTGAAGCTCAACGGCTTTACCAAGGCTGACGTTGTTGACTACTATTGGGATCTAGAGGCTATTAAGCACACCTTTAATTCACACTTAAGAGTCCCCACGAGGTCGTCTCCAAGGGTCCGTGTTATGTCGAGGGATACGCTAAGTATGAAAACAATCGCGTGCATGAGAGCATTTCCAAAACTCCTAGCGCAGCGTTGTGACGACGAACTGGTCATGTGCAGAAAGTTCTCTTCACGTCAATACGATGATAGAGAAAAACTCCACTCAAATGATTGATCACAACTGAACACACGTACGAGTTTATATTTTGCCTAACACACAAGCATAAGAAAGCACAAAGCAGTTGTTTAACTTGTCTTCAGGACTTCGCCATATGCGCCAAGGAAAACGGTTGACGAACTGCTTCGTAATTCGGCTTGGTTCTCCCCTGTAGAAATTTCATGTCTGCCAAATTCCCCTGCTGATTCCCCTCGTGAACGTTCGTGACTTCTCGTGCGCAATCATAAACGCTCGTGTGAGATTACCGTTTTCACGAAGTCTCACAGTTGAAAAACGGTTTTCACCGTTTTTCTCCTGTATCGAAATTGTCCCTTTACGCGCGCGATCTTTCCAG